CCGGAGCATTGCACAATCCAAACGGCATCACTTTAAATTGCCACAGACCCTTTCCCGTCGAGAACGCGGTTTTCTCCTTGTCCTTAAGGTCAATTTCAACTTGCCAGTATCGACTTTTTAGATCCAGCGTGCTAAACCACTTTACTTCTGTTGGCATATCCAGTGTGTCATCAATTCTTGGCAAGGGATAGCTGTCCTTCTTCGTAACGTCGTTCAGACGGCGGTAGTCGACACCGCATGCTGCCATCTTTCTTCTTTATCAGCACCACGGGTGAACACCATGGACTAGAGGAAGGTTCAATAACACCATCCTTCACCATTCCCTCAATCATAGTTTCCACTTCTTTTTCACGTGCTACCGGCAATCTTCTTGGTCGTAGGCTTCTTCTCTGTGTTTATTTTGTGATGAACTAAGCCGGTCTTCCTATGTCAGCATCGTTTGACGAGAATACATCGGCATACTTGAGTAACAACTTCTTCGCCTTGACCATTTCATTAGGGGAGAAGACGCTGCGACAGTCTTCTAAAAGTGTGGTCACTCTCGTTTGTGCACCCTTGCTGGGGGTCCCACTCGATAGATATTGGCACCGACGTAACCAATCCACTTCCTCACAAGTACCAACCAGTGTGCCTTTTTCTATAATCTGTTCCTGGTCACAAATGTTCAGCACACGTACTCCTGAGATATCAGTGGTTCTAACCAAGGTTCGAGCTACTTTCCATGGAGGGTCATTGTTTACCCTTTCCACAAGTACACAACGGTGGGCTTGCCCAGGGTTTCGAGGAAGACTAACCGGCACAATCGTTTCCAATCTCGGCGAAAGAACAATCTCCTTAATGCTGTACACGTTCCCTGGTAACGCACCTTCCATAAAAAGTTCCTCCTGCCCACATTTCAAAACACCTTGCTTAACGTCGATCTCACAACAATTATTCCTCATAAAGTCTAGGCCCAGGATGCAGTCGTCCATTATATCAGCCACAATGACATTATGCAGGTGGATCACGTTGCCTAGCTTCAACTCCATCTCCTTCTCTCCACGGACGGGTATACGCTGACCGGTGGCTGTTACCAAATTAATGCGTTCTCTTTTGTATGCGGAGTCCCCAAGAAACTGACTTATAAGTTGGGAACTAACAACCGTACGAAAGGCTCCAGTATCTATGGTCAGTTTACACGATATTCCGTTGACCTCGCCCTTGATGATTAGCCTGTTCCCATCATGGGTTTGTGAGATCGAGACCATTGGGGCTCTTTTTACATCAGCCAGCACCCGCCCCGCAGTTCTGGCTTTTACTCGTTTCCCTGCAGCTGCTGGGCGGTGCTGTTGGCCGTATTACCCTCCTGAGATCGTTCACTTCCCTTTCCAGAGTTCGCTTAGGGCAGCTGGATCGAAGATGGCCCCTTTCCCCACAGCCATAGCACCTAGGGTTGTATCCTTTGTTGCGGTCGCGAACTATAGCTTCAGCAACCTCCCTGACGCGATGGGAACGATGATCCTGTCGCACGGCTTCCACCTCCAGTGCATGGGCCAAGGCGTCCTTAAGCGTCTCGTGGTACCCGATCATCACAGCAGCTCTGACTTCCAGGTCGCGGATGCCGTCGATGAATGTCTGCACCAGGTTCCCTTCAATGAGCGCAGGTACAGACCGGTATGCTTTTCGCACCAGCTTCTCCACCTCTAGAGCCCACTGCTGCAGGTTTTCGTTGATGCGCTGCACGCGATCTTTAAGCTGCGCGCGAAAGACGTGTTCCAGGTGAGCGTCGCCATATCTCGCCTCCAATGCCTCAAGGAGTTGCTCATAAGTGAGAACAGTCATGGCCTGACTTTTATTCCAGCCATTCGCCTTCATAACAGCCTCGAACTGGATTTTATAGGCTGACCAGGAAGAAGTCCCGTCAAACGGTGGCATTTTAAACCCACGTAGCGAAGGTGTTATAGCTACTACGGGAGCTGTAATTCCATCCCCCAGTTTGAGGTCGTCCAGCGTTTTCTTCACGTCAGCCATCACGTTGTCAACCCGATTGTTCACTTGGATGATTCGGGTTTCAGCTTTCTCGATTCGGGTTTCAGCTTTTGCGATTTGGGTTTAAGCTTCTGACAGGCGGTTGTCATGCTGAGCAACCCTATTCTTCACCTCCTTTATCTCCTTCCCGAAGGCAGCGTGAAGGTCCTTCATGAGGAGCATCTGCTCTTCCAACCGATGGGCCTGTTCCTCTTGTTCGCCCCGCAGCTACTCTTCCAAACGACGGACCTGTTCCTCCTGTCGGCGAGCCTGTTCCTACTGTCGGCGAACCTGTTCCTCCTGTCGGCGAACCTGTTCCTCCTGCTGCTCTTTCAACAGACGGGTCTGTTCCTCTCGTCCGCGCTGCAGCTGCTCCTGTAGCATCGCCATCAGAGCACCTAAGTCAGGTGCTGCAGATGCAGGAGCTACTAACGGGCCCGCAGCCTTCGTGGCTGGCGGTTGGTTATAAATATATTATTATTATTATTACGAAAATGATTGTGACTGAAAACCTGGGCCTTGAATTAGACTCAATTCAGGTTAAGTGTGAAATTATAAAAGATATATGTGATTGTAAACATGTCATCACTCCGGAATTTACCTTTAAGCTATTTTGTCTCAATATCAGAAGCCTAGGAAAGAATTTTAATATTTTAATGGTAGCCTTACAACGTTTAGAAATATCCATGGATATTATAATTCTGACCGAATGTTGGCTCTACGATGGTATAATAATTCCGCAAATACCTAGATATAACGCTTTTAAAACGCATAGGCACTTAAATCAAAATAGCGGGGTTGTTATACCTGAGTTATACCTGAGTGATATATGGCATGCCACAGTTTCGGAACTATGAATTGATGAAGCCGATTGCCTATTTGTTCAAATACCCGAAAAGTTAAATATTGTTGGAAAATATCGTTCACTATCTTTTAAGAATCTGGAAAAATGTCTAGCATCCCTTAAAATGCACAATAATAAAATAAATATAATGGAAAATATATGTACTCCACAAAGCTAATATCAGTGCTGTGTGACCGAACACGGGTTCACTAGCCATAGTAAATCTAACTAGGAAGTCTGCTTGCTTTGATCACATCTACGTTAGAAACTTGGATAGTTGCCAAGCACTACATGGCATTGTATGCCAATGTGACATAACAGACCACTTCCCAGTTATGCTTGGTTTGAACTCCAAAAAATTTAAGCCTCCTAGACCTACTCGTTTCACATCTAAAAGAGATCTTAATGCCATAGAACATAACCTTAAAAACATCGACTGGTCTATTCTAAGCAATATATCCGACGTAAATATAGCTAATGAAATATTCACAAAACACATTATAGATGTCCTAAATAAACATACCAAAGAAGTTAAAATTAGAAGAGCCAAGTATAACATAAAACCTTGGATAACTCCAGGTTTAATTCGTTGTATGCGCGTCCGTGATCGTCTGCATCTTCAATCTCGGAGTGATCCGAAAAATAAAAACTTAAAAAAAATACCCGTTATCAAAAATTTTTATAGATTTATTACGCAAGGTTAAAACTGAATATGAAAATAAATTTCTTATTGAAAACAAAAATAACCCGAAAAAGATGTGGCAGTCAATCAAAAATATCTGTCACCTTCAACATTGTTACGGCCCGGAGTTACCCCGACAAACGCCGATTGAGCTAGGGCCCACGGTAGCCCAATACGACGGGTAATAAAGGGGAGGGTCCGACGACCTATGGGTAATTAAATTATAACGGCTAACAAAGAAGCAAGCAACACTTACCGATTGGCGGAGGTAGGGTTGACAACGGGGCACCTGTCCGGTGAAAGTTGATGTGCATGTAAGTGGTGTGCAATAATATGTACAAGGTGTAACCTGACTTCCCCGCTGATCCTGGACAGCAGATCCCAAGGCGCTGCTTCTCTCCAAATGTGGGATCCATCCAAGGGGCGTTCACCAATGGAAAACTTCCACTTCAATTTTCACTGTATTAGTTTATCAACTTTATTGTCCATTTAATTAACTTCAATGCAACCAAATCAACGTTAATCGACATTAAAACACAACTTAAGGACGATTGGTCAAAGTTCAAAGTCCCAGGTTCACTAGCACAAAACTACTAACTCGTCGATGCAACTAACGGCATAAAAGTTCCTTTAATCACTCCAAACTCCAAGTAGGCCTCTTGTCACGTAACACGTTCAATAGTAATTCAAAATGGCAGACACAATTAACACAGATTTAGGCCTTCAATCTAAACACCGGCCGCCCGCAACCGTATACCAGTCACAAACAATACTTAAAACTGTTACAACAATAATTCTATAATCCCGACCTTGTTATCACGAAACAAATTAAGATAACACTGGAAGAGGCTCGCTACGTATAAACGACCCGGGCTTCGCGCAAATAAGGTCAAGAATAAGCCTCGTTGTCACGCATATTAACGACAAATACAACACAATAGAGGCCGTCCTTCCGACGCATATTTATATCAAACTCGCGACCCCTAAATCGACCCGGTAGATTATGTAACGCCCGACGTTTAACTGGCACGGGCTCAGCGCCCAAAGGCTTCCTGCCGACTGCCCCGCTTGCTGTGCGCATACGCCACAGCAAGCCTCCGTCTCCCACGCAACGCTAACCGTTTCCTCACCCCGCTCGAGGCAATCGGGCGTAAACAAACATAATAAAAATGAACCCAAAGAATTGTTAAGACTACATGGTCTAAATGTGCAAGAATCAATGAATTCACAAATCATCATTTTTCTTCTGCTGGTAAAAAGCTCGCAGAAAATATTCTCTCTCATATGAAGCTAAATGAGGCTGATCTGGCAAGGTCCGTTCGAACTCCAAATGCACAAATGAATTCGTTTTTCATGTATCCCACCGATCACGAAGAAATTGGAAAACTTATATTTCAGTTGCAAGATAAGGCATAGGGTATAGACGGAGTTAGCAACGCGCTTGCAAAATTTATCAAACATGAAATTATGACGCCGCTTGCGTACATTTTTAACCTCAGTCTCTCAAGCGGTACCTTTCCAGATAGTTGGAAAACAAAAGGTTTCAGCTTTCTCAATTCGGGTTTCAGCTTTTGCGATTTGGGTTTAAGCTTCTGTCAGGCGGTTGTCATGCTGAGCAACCCTATCCTTCACCTCCTTTATCTCCTTCCCGAAGGTAGCGTGAAGGTCCTTCATGAGGAGCATCTGCTCTTCCAACCGATGGGCCTGTTCCTCTTGTTCGCCCCGCAGCTACTCTTCCAAACGACGGACCTGTTCCTCCTGTCGACGAACCTGTTCCTCCTGCTGCTCTTTCAACAGACGGGCCTGTTCCTCTCGTCCGCGCTGCAGCTGCTCCTGTAGCATCGCCATCAGAGCACCTAAGTCAGGTGCTGCAGATGTAGGAGCTACTAACGGGCCCGCAGCCTTCGTGGCTGGCAGTTGGTTATAAATATATTATTATTATTATGTGGGGTATCTATATAGTTTTCTCATCTGGTTGGGATGTATAAATATATAATTATAAATGAAAATGAAAAGATAAATATACATAAATATCAATAAAATAAAATAAATACAAAAATACATAAATAAATAAAAGCCCAACCAGATGGAAGCCCTCGGCAGGGGAGACCAAACGGCCAAGGGTTAGGGGGAAAGGGAAAGAAACCGGCGGACGATGCGGGCAGTATCAAGGAGCACCGCCTTCTGCATTTGAGCCCGGAGCGGTCCGTCACGGAGTCCCAGTCGCCTCAGATGATCAGAGAGGCTAACTGGGATTAGCCCATTCGCAGAGACGACTACAGGAATAATTTTGGTCGGCACACCACCCCACATGTCGGTCACCTCGTGAGCCAGGTCCAGATACTTTGATTGCTTATCTGTTTCGGCTTTCACGAGGTTCTCGGCATACGGGACGGTAATATCGACCAAAAATATCCTTGACTGTGCCCGGTCCATCAGCACAATATCAGGCTTATTCGCAAGAATAGTCCTGTCTGTGATGATGGCCCGGTCCCAGTAGAGCCTGGCGCGGTCATTTTCGAGCACGGCTTCCGGCAAGTACTTGTAATACGGCAATTTCCGGTCCACGAGACCGTATTTCAGAGCGAGCTCCTGGTGTAGAATTCTGGCTACTAGGTTGTGCCTGTGCAAGTACTCAGAGTTAGAAAGCGCCGAACAACCGGAGATGACATGCCTAAGTGACTCACCGGGATGGCGACAAGCTCGACAGACGTCGACGGTGCCATCCTTTAGGATGTATCTCCGATAGTTGTTGGTCTTAATAACCTGATCCTGTATTGCACAGACAAAACCCTCGGTTTCCCCGAAGAGGTCACCGAAACGCAGCCAGTTGAGGGAGGCGACTGTGTCTACGAAGGGCTCATGTAGAGCCCTGTAGTACCTCCCGTGGAGCTCTTTCTCCTTCCATACGGTCTCCCGGTCGGAAATGCTAAGCACTGCTGGGTCCTGCCATTGCTCGTTGGCTAAGGATAGAGGGGTAAGCCCTTTATCACTAGAAATGACGTCATTATAGAATGGATCATCCGATCTCGCCAGGAAGTAATGACGGAGGCTGCACACTTCACGATTATGCATGGTGAGCGCGCTCAGAAAGCCACGCCCACCATGCTTTCGCGGCAAGTACAGCCTCATTACCGACGATCTCGGATGATGCATTCTATGGGACGTCATGGTAGTGCGGACTTTTCTATCCAGGGCGTTAAGTTCAGTCTGACTCCACCTGAGTATGCCAAAGGTATACATAAGGACAGGTATGACCCAACCGTTATATGCGTGTGTCTTATTCACACCGGACAAAAGGCTATTAAGCACTTTGGTCAAGCGTGCATAAAACACGTCGCAAACTGACTGTTTCATACCAGCCTCATCGATACCGATGTTCTGTGACATACCCAGGTATCGGTATGTTTCAGCCTTTTATTATTATTATTATTATTATTACGAAAATGACTCTTTCAACAGACGGGCCTATTCCTCTCGTCCGCGCTGCAGCTGCTCCTGTAGCATCGCCATAAGAGCACCTAAGTCAGGTGCTGCAGATGCAGGAGCTACTGACGGGCCGACCTCCGTTGCCTGCGGCTGGCCCTCCGACATCTGCGGAGTTGCACCACCAAATCTCCTCTGGTCCGTCTCCTGCTGGCGTTGACTTCGGGTACGGACACCCTCCGATTCCTCCTTCGGTAAAATCGGCATGATTTGATCCCACTTCTGACACCAATTGTTACGAGCTTAGGGTTCGTGACAATAAAAACTGCCGATTGAATTACCAAAATTAACACTTTAATTCACTTTACACTAACTAAACCTAAAAGACACTAATAATTAATCACGCTGATTCACTTTATTCCACTCCGAAGCTTCGCTTGTCTCGCCAAATTCAAGACTGCCTCGATTGCATCTTGCAGCGCCTTTAAATACATATTGTTACGAGCTTGAGGTTCGTGACAATAAAAATTGCCGATAAAATTACCTAAATTAACACTTTAATTCACTTTACACTAATTAAAGTTAAAAATAATATAATAATAATAATAATAATAAAATGGCGTAGGGAATTGACGACCCCATCGCCCGCTGACGTAACAGTTAAGTGACAAAACTGCTACGTCAACGCAGTCAGTCAGCGCCTTGCGAGAGGTGTGAGCGCCGTGCCTCGGCAGAATTCAGGGTGCAAAGGCCCGTTTGTGCTTATGGCCGTCCACGATACGGTGCCGGGCCTGGACGTCTCCCGTTAATGGACGCCCATATTATGGATGATGGAGAAAAAGATAGTGCGCAAAGGGCCGCTGCCTGGAGGTCGCCAGGGCGCGTCTGGAGCTGGCGCTGGACGCGACAGCATGCGGGCCGCCAGCCGAGCGCGGGGTGTTGCAAGACCACCTAGCAGCCCCCCGCATCCATCATCCCCACCAGAAGACTTGGTATCGGCTGGGTCTTCTCGGACTCAGCAAGCGGCACCCGCCGCTGGTGGAGCACGTCGCATGCGTTGGTCTAAATCAATGAATGAAAACGCACTGCGGGCGTATTTTAGGGCAAAAAGGGGAAGAAACTGGATGTTTGGCGTATCGGGCTCGGATGCATCGCTTTTTTTGCAGAGCTGGAGCCATCTCTATCCGTCACTGAGCAAAACCTGGCAGACCGAGTTAGGTACATCCTGCGCTCCAACATATTTGGTGACGCCGAACTCGAGCGACTACGACGTGAGGCTATTCCTTCATCGAATGGAAATGCTACGGCTGGGAATGCGGCGCCACTAGATGCGCAACAAACTGCATATGTGGATGCTGCCGTCAACATTCCATTTGTGGCTAATTCAGACGATGATGGAATAGTCTCCCACGAACTAGAGAAAATGAGGAGCATATTGGAAGAGTCGATGCTGGAAACGCGCAGCATGCCTCTCGAAAATCGACCGCGACTTCCCCGCATACCACTTAGCAAGCGAAATCGGGCTGTCGTGCAGGCTCTTAACCCAAAGCTGGTGACCTATTTGGAAGCCAGCCGGGACCTTTGCGAGACGGACTCAATTCTTTTTGGCGCCGCACTGGCAGTATGCCGTATTATTGGCGCCAAACTTCCCGTGGCTGGACGTGCTACTCAAAAAAGTAGCGCCATCCCAGCCTGGAGAAAAAGAATTGAGGACCGTATCGCAAAGGCAAGGGCCCTTATCGGCAGAGTGACAAGCTTCAGGTCGGGTAATAATAGACCGAGGATTATGTGCACCGTTAGGATGGCGTTTGCTAGGACAAATATCAGTTTGTTCCAGCCGGATATCATGCAAAAACTAACGGAGCGCATAGATGACCTGAAGCAAAAAATCGCTGCTTGGGGGGAAGCGGATTCGACGATTTAGCGAGAGGTCAAGGCGGTTCAGCCAGAATCGTCTCTTCCAGAGTGATCAGAAGAGGCTCTATAAATCATTGGAGCGACCAGAGGTGTGTGGAGCGGGCCCAGGACCGGATCAGGCTGACACTGTCGCATTTTGGCGTGGCCTGTGGTCAGAGCCCGTAAACCACAGCGAGGGCCCTTGGATGGAAGTTGTGGCGAGCCAGAGTGCAAGTGTTACGCCTATGGACCCCGTCACCATAACGCCTAAAGACGTGGCTGAGGCGGTCCGTAGGGCCCCGAACTGGAAAAGTCCGGGGCTCGACGGGCTGCATCATTACTGGCTGAAGGGGTTCGTAGTGTGTCACGCTGTGCTCGCCCGACAGTTTCAAGAGGCTCTCGATCAGAAGTCGCTCCCGAGCCTCTTCACTACTGGGATCACTCATTTGGTTCCTAAAGATCAGGATACCACAGACCCGAGCAAATACCGCCCCATCACGTGTCTACCCACCATATATAAGACACTGACATCCATTTTGAGCGCGAGAATCTCTCGTCACCTGGAGCTAAATCAGGTGATGTCACGCGCTCAAAATGGATGCCGGGCCGGTGGTCGTGGAACCAAGGAACCACTCCTCATTGACGCGGTCATTGGCAAAGTGGTGAAACGCAACCGTCGGAATTTCTCCGCCGCCTGGATAGACTACAGAAAGGCATTCGACTCGGTGCCCCATACATGGCTAAAGAGAGTCCTCCAGCTGTACAAAATTGACTGTACAGTTGGAGACTTCCTCGAGCAGTGTATGGCGCAATGGAGTACGATCCTTTGCTATCTGGGCGAGCGGATGATGGCTGCGGAGAACCACATAAGGATAAGAAGGGGTATCTTCCAGGGCGATTGTCTGAGTCCAATCTGGATTTGCCTCTCCCTGAACCCTCTCAGTACTTTACTGGAGGGCTCCGGGAGGGGATTTCAGCTTCGGAAAGGAGGTACAAAAGTGACCCACCTTTTCTATATGGATGACCTCAAGTTATTCGCCTCCAGTCGCTCCCATCTTATGGAATTGCTAAACATCACTTGTGAATTTAGCAATTCTATTGGAATGGAGCTGGGAACGGATAAGTTTGCGGTCCTCCATGTTGAAAGGGAGAGGGTTGCTAACTCTGAGGGCATAGACTTATCTATGCCCGTCAACTTAAGGACCCTTTCCGACGCTGAAACATACCGATACCTGGGTATGTCACAGAACATCGGTATCGATGAGGCTGGTATGAAACAGTCAGTTTGCGACGTGTTTTATGCACGCTTGACCAAAGTGCTTAAAAGCCTTTTGTCCGGTGTGAATAAGACACACGCATATAACGGCTGGGTCATGCCTGTCCTCATGTATACCTTTGGCATACTCAGGTGGACTCAGACTGAACTTAACGCCCTGGATAGAAAAGTCCGCACTACCATGACGTCCCACAGGATGCATCATCCGAGATCGTCGGTAATGAGGCTGTACTTGCCGCGAAAGCATGGTGGGCGTGGCTTCTTGAGCGCGCTCACCATGCATAATCGCGAAGTGTGCAGCCTCCGTAATTACTTCCTGGCGAGATCGGATGATCCATTCTATAAGGACGTCATTTCTAGTGATAAAGGACTTACCCCTCTATCCTTAGCCAACGAGCTCTTACTCCTTATATATGGCATGCCACAGTTTCGGAACTATGAATTGATGAAGCCGATTGCCTATTTGTTCAAATACGAAAAGTTAAATATTGTTGGAACATATCATTCACTATCTTTTAAGAATCTGGAAAAATGTCTAGCATCCCTTGAAATGCACAATAATAAAATAAATATAATGGAAAATATATGTACTCCACAAAGCTTATCAGTGCTGTGTGACCGAACACGGGTTCACTAGCAATAGTAAATCTAACTAGGAAGTCTGCTTGCTTTGATCACATCTACGTTAGAAACTTGGATAGTTGCCAAGAACTACATGGCATTGTATGCCAATGTGACATTACAGACCACTTCCCAGTTATGCTTGGTTTGAACTCCAAAAAATTTAAGCCTCCTAGACCTACTCGTTTCACATCTAAAAGAGATCTTAATGCCATAGCACATAACCTTAAAAACATCGACTGGTCTATTCTAAGCAATATATCCGACGTAAATATAGCTAATGAAATATTCACAAAACACATTATAGATGTCCTAAATAAACATACCAAAGAAGTTAAAATTAGAAGAGCCAAGTATAACATAAAACCTTGGATAACTCCAGGTTTAATTCTTTGTATGCGCGTCCGTGATCGTCTGCATCTTCAATCTCGGAGTGATCCGAAAAATAAAAACTTTAAAAAAAAATACCCGTTATCAAAAAATTTTTTATAGATTTATTACGCAAGGTTAAAACTGAATATGAAAATAAATTTCTTATTGAAAACAAAAATAACCCGAAAAAAGATGTGGCAGGCAGTCAATCAAAAATATCTGTCACCTTCAACATTGTTACGGCCCGGAGTTACCCCGACAAACGCCGATTGAGCTAGGGCCCACGGTAGCCCAATACGACGGGTAATAAAGGGGAGGGTCCGACGACCTATGGATAATTAAATTATAACGGCTAACAAAGAAGCAAGCAACACTTACCGATTGGCGGAGGTAGGGTTGACAACGGGGCACCTGTCCGGTGAAAGTTGATGTGCATGTAAGTGGTGTGCAATAATATGTACAAGGTGTAACCTGACTTCCCCGCTGATCCTGGACAGCAGACCCCAAGGCGCTGCTTCTCTCCAAATGTGGGATCCATCCAAGGGGCGTTCACCAATGGAAAACTTCCACTTCAATTTTCACTGTATTAGTTTATCAACTTTATTGTCCATTTAATTAACTTCAATGCAACCAAATCAACGTTAATCGACATTAAAACACAACTTAAGGACGATTGGTCAAAGTTCAAAGTCCCAGGTTCACTAGCACAAAACTACTAACTCGTCGATGCAACTAACGGCATAAAAGTTCCTTTAATCACTCCAAACTCCAAGTAGGCCTCTTGTCACGTAACACGTTCAATAGTAATTCAAAATGGCAGACACAATTAACACAGATTTAGGCCTTCAATCTAAACACCGGCCGCCCGCAACCGTATACCAGTCACAAACAATACTTAAAACTGTTATAACAATAATTCTATAATTCCGACCTTGTTATCACGAAACAAATTAAGATAACACTGGAAGAGGCTCGCTACGTATAAACGACCCGGGCTTCGCGCAAATAAGGTCAAGAATAAGCCTCGTTGTCACGCATATTAACGACAAATACAACACAATAAAAGCAGTCCTTCCGACGCACATTTATATCAAACTCGCGACCCCTAAATCGACCCGGTAGATTATGTAACGCCCGACGTTTAACTGGCACGGGCTCAGCGCCCAAAGGCTTCCTGCCGACTGCCCCGCTTGCTGTGCGCATACGCCACAGCAAGCCTCCGTCTCCCACGCAACGCTAACCGTTTCCTCACCCCGCTCGAGGCAATCGGGCGTAAACAAACATAATAAAAATGAACCCAAAGAATTGTTAAGACTACATGGTCTAAATGTGCAAGAATCAATGAATTCACAAATCATCATTTTTCTTCTGCTGGTAAAAAGCTCGCAGAAAATATTCTCTCTCATATGAAGCTAAATGAGGCTGATCTGGCAAGGTCCGTTCGAACTCCAAATGCACAAATGAATTCGTTTTTCATGTATCCCACCGATCACGAAGAAATTGGAAAACTTATATTTCAGTTGCAAGATAAGGCATAGGGTATAGACGGAGTTAGCAACGCGCTTGCAAAATTTATCAAACATGAAATTATGACGCCGCTTGCGTACATTTTTAACCTCAGTCTCTCAAGCGGTACCTTTCCAGATAGTTGGAAAACAAAAGGTTTCAGCTTTCTCAATTCGGGTTTCAGCTTTTGCGATTTGGGTTTAAGCTTCTGTCAGGCGGTTGTCATGCTGAGCAACCCTATCCTTCACCTCCTTTATCTCCTTCCCGAAGGTAGCGTGAAGGTCCTTCATGAGGAGCATCTGCTCTTCCAACCGATGGGCCTGTTCCTCTTGTTCGCCCCGCAGCTACTCTTCCAAACGACGGACCTGTTCCTCTTGTCGGCGAGCCTGTTCCTGCTGTCGGCGAGCCTGTTCCTCCTGTCGACGAACCTGTTCCTCCTGCTGCTCTTTCAACAGACGGGCCTGTTCCTCTCGTCCGCGCTGCAGCTGCTCCTGTAGCATCGCCATCGAGCACCTAAGTCAGGTGCTGCAGATGTAGGAGCTACTAACGGGCCCGCAGCCTTCGTGGCTGGCAGTTGGTTATAAAATATTATTATTATTATTATTATTACGAAAATGACTCTTTCAACAGACGGGCCTATTCCTCTCGTCCGCGCTGCAGCTGCTCCTGTAGCATCGCCATAAGAGCACCTAAGTCAGGTGCTGCAGATGCAGGAGCTACTGACGGGCCGACCTCCGTTGCCTGCGGCTGGCCCTCCGACATCTGCGGAGTTGCACCACCAAATCTCCCCTGGTCCGTCTCCTGCTGGCGTTGACTTCGGGTACGGACACCCTCCGATTCCTCCTTCGGTAAAATCGGCATGATTTGATCCCACTTCTGACACCAATTGTTACGAGCTTAGGGTTCGTGACAATAAAAACTGCCGATTGAATTACCAAAATTAACACTTTAATTCACTTTACACTAATTAAACCTAAAAGACACTAATAATTAATCACGCTGATTCACTTTATTCCACTCCGAAGCTTCGCTTGTCTCGCCAAATTCAATACTGCCTCGATTGCATCTTGCAGCGCCTTTAAATACATATTGTTACGAGCTTGAGGTTCGTGACAATAAAAATTGCCGATAGAATTACCTAAATTAACACTTTAATTCACTTTACACTAATTAAAGTTAAAAATAATATAATAATAATAATAATAATAAAAAGGCGTAGGGAAGTGACGACCCCATCGCCCGCTGACGTAACAGTTAAGTGACAAAACTGCGACGTCAACGCAGTCAGTCAGCGCCTTGCAAGAGGTGTGAGCGCCGTGCCTAGGCAGAATTGGATGCAAAGGCCCGTTTGTGCTTATGGCCGTCCACGAAACGGTGCCGGGCCTGGGCGTCTCCCGTTAATGGACGCCCATAAAATGGATGATGGAAGAAAAAGATAGCGCGCAAAGGGCCGCTGCCTGGAGGTCGCCAGGGCGCGTCTGGAGCTGGCGCTGGACGCGACAGCATGCGGGCCGCCAGCCGAGCGCGGGGAGCTGCACGACCACCTAGCAGCCCCTCGCATCCATCATCCCCACCAGAAGGCTTGGTGTCGGCTGGGTCTTCTCGGACCCAGCAAGCGGCACCCGCCGCTGGTGGAGCACGTCGCATGCGTTGGACAAAATCCATGAATGAAAACGCACTGCGGGCGTATTATAGGGCAAAAGGGGAAGAAACTGGAGTATGGCGTATAGGTCTCGGATGCATCGCTTTTTTGCAGAGCTGGAGCCAGTCTATCCCGTCACGGAGCAAAACCTGGCAGACCGAGTTCGGTACATCCTGCGCTCGAACATATTTGGTGACGCCGAACTCGAACGACTACAACGTGAGGCTATTCCGTCATCGAATGGAAATCGGCTACGGCTGGGAATGCGGCGCCGCATTCGCAACAAACTGCATCCACACGTGGAAGCCGCCGTCAACATTCCATTTGTGGCTAATTCAGACGACGATGAAATAGTCTCCCACGAACTAGAGAAAATGAGGAGCATATTGGAAGAGGCGATTCTGGAAACGCGCAGCACGCCTCTCGAAAATCGACCGCGACTTCCCCCGCATACCCTTAAGCAAGCGAAATCGGGCTGTCGTGCGGGCTCTTAACCCAATGCTGGTGACCTATTTGGAAGCCAGCCGGGACCTTTGCGAGACGGACTCAATTCTTTTTGGCGCCGCACTGGCAGTATGCCGTATTATTGGCGCCAAACTTCCCATGGCTGGACGCGCTACTCAACAAAGTAGCGCCATCCCAGCCTGGAGAAAAAGAATCGAGGACCGTATCGCAAAGGCAAGGGCCCTTATCGGCAGACTGACAAGCTTCAGGTCGGGTAATAATAGACCGAGGATTATGCGCACCGTTAGGATGGCGTTTGCTGGGACAAATATCAGTTTGTCCCAGCCGGATATCACGCAGAAACTAACGGAGCGCATAGACGACCTGAAGCAAAAGATCGCTGCTTGGGGGAAGCGGATTCGACGATTTACCGAGGGGTCAAGGCGGTTCAACCAGAATCGTCTCTTCCAGAGTGATCAGAAGAGGCTCTATAAATTATTGGAGCGACCAAAGGTATGTGGAGCGGGCCCAGGACCGGATCAGGCCGACACTGTCGCATTCTGGCGTGGCCTGTGGTCAGAGCCCGTAAACCACAGCGAGGGCCCTTGGATGGAAGTTGTGGCGAGCCAGGGTGCGAGTGTTACGCCTATGGACCACATCACCATAACGCCAAAAGACGTGGCTGAGGCGGTCCGTAGGGCCCCGAACTGGAAAAGTCCGGGGCTCGACGGGCTGCATCATTACTGGCTGAAGGGGTTCGTAGTGTGTCACGCTGTGCTCGCCCGACAGTTTCAAGAGGCTCTCGACCAGAAGTCGCTCCCGAGCCTCTTCACTACTGGGATCACTCACTTGGTTCCTAAAGATCAGGATACCACAGACCCGAGCAAATACCGCCCTATCACGTGTCTACCCACCATATATAAGACACTGACATCCATTTTGAGCGCGAGAATCACTCGTCACCTGGAGCTAAACCAGGTGATGTCACGCGCTCAAAATGGATGCCGGGGCGGTGGTCGTGGAACCAAGGAACCACTCCTCATTGACGCGGTCATTGGCAAAGTGGTGAAACGCAACCGTCGGAATTTCTCCGCCGCCTGGATAGACTACAGAAAGGCGTTCGACTCGGTGCCCCATACATGGCTAAAGAGGGTCCTCCAGCTGTACAAGATTGACTGTACAGTTGGAGACTTCCTCGAGCAGTGTATGGGGCAGTGGAGTACGATCATTTGTTATCTGGGCGAGCGGATGACGGCTGCGGAGAACCACATAAGGATAAGAAGGGGTATCTTCCAGGGCGATTGTCTGAGTCCAATCTGGATTTGCCTCTCCCTGAACCCTCTCAGTACCTTACTGGAGGGCTCCGGGAGGGGATTTCAGCTTCGGAAAGGAGGGACAAAAGTGACCCACCTTTTCTATATGGATGACCTCAAGTTATTCGCCTCCAGTCGCTCCCATCTTATGGAATTGCTAAACATCACTTGTGAATTTAGCAATTCTATTGGAATGGAGCTGGGGACGGATAAGTGTGCGGTCCTCCATGTTGAAAGGGGAAGGGTTGCTAATTCTGGGCATAGACTATCTACGTCAACTTAAGGACCCTTTCCGAGGCTGAAACATACCGATACCTGGGTATGTCACAGAACATCGGTATCGATGAGGCTGGTATGAAACAGTCAGTTTGCGACGTGTTTTATGCACGCTTGACCAAAGTGCTTAACAGCCTTTTGTCCGGTGTGAATAAGACACACGCATATAACGGCTGGGTCATGCCTGTCCTCATGTATACCTTTGGCATACTCAGGTGGACTCAGACTGAGCTTAACGCCCTGGATAGAAAAGTCCGCACTACCATGACGTCACACAGGATGCATCATCCGAGATCGTCGGTAATGAGGCTGTACTTGCCGCGAAAGTATGGTGGGCGTGGCTTTTTGAGCGCGCTCACCATGCATAATCGCGAAGTGTGCAGCCTCCGTAAGTACTTCTTGGCGAAATCGGATGATCCATTCTATAATGACGTCATTTCTAGTGATAAAGGGCTTACCCCTCTATCCTTAGCCAACGAGCAATGGCAGGACCCGGCAGTGCTTAGACAATTCCGACCGGGAGACCGTATGGAAGGAGAAGGAGCTCCACGGGAGGTACTACAAGGCTCTACATGAGCCCTTCGTAGACACAGTCGCCTCCCTCAACTGGCTACGCTTCGGTGACCTCTTCGGGGGAAACCGAGGGTTTTGTCTGTGCAATACAGGATCAGGTTATTAAGACCAACAACTATCGGAGATACATCCTAAAGGATGGCACCGTGGACATCTGCCGAGCTTGTCGCCATCCCGGGGAGTCACTTAGGCATGTCATCTCCGGTTGTTCGGCGCTTTCTAACTCTGAGTACTTGCACAGGCACAACCTAGTATCCAGAATTCTACACCAGGAGCTCGCTCTGAAATACGGTCTCGTGGACCGGAAATTGCCGTATTACAAGTACTTGCCGGAAGCCGTGCTCGAAAATGACCGCGCCAGGCTCTACTGGGACCGGGCCATCATCACAGACAGGACTATTCTTGCGAATAAGCCTGATATTGTGCTGATGGACCGGGCACAGTCAAGGATATTTTTGGTCGACATTACCATTCCGTATGACGAGAACCTCGTGAAAGCCGAAACAGACAAGCAAACAAAATATCTGGACCTGGCTCACGAGGTGACTGACATGTGGGGTGGTCTGCCGACCGAAATTATTCCTGTAGTCGTCTCTGCAAACGGGCTAATCCCAGTCAGCCTCTCGGGTCATCTGAGGCGACTGGGACTACGTGGCGGACCGCTCCGGGCTCAAATACAGAAAGCGGTGCTCCTCGATACCGCCCGCATCGTCCGCCGGTTTCTTTCCCTTTCCCCCTAACCCTCGGCCGTTTGGTCTCCCCTGCCGAGGGCCTCCATCTGGTTGGGCTTTTATTTATTTATGTATTTTTATATTTATTTTATATTATTGATATTTATGTATATTTATCTTTTCATTTTCATTTATAATTATATATTTATAGAACCCAACCAGATGAGAAAACTATATAGATACCCCACAATAATAATAATATTCCACAACTATCACACAACGCCATCTAGTCCCAAGCTAAGCAGAGCTTGTGTTATGGGTACTAGACAACTGATAAACATACTTATATATTTCTAAATACATAAATATTATAGATAAAAACACTAATAATTAATCACACTGATTCACTTTATTCCGCTCCGAAGCTTCGCTTGTCTCGCCAAATCAACACTTCCTCGATCGCATCTTGCAGCGCCTATTTATATAAATTAGCAGCGAAATATCCAGAATATTCAAGTAAACACACGCAAGGTACCGAGAGTTCGTGTTTCAATTTCAAGAAGTTTAGTTCTTCGGTTCGAGACTAGATGGCGCTAGTGCCGTCGACTTGAGCGCGTAACACTGCCCCCTCCAAAGACATGCTCGTCCCGAGCATTATCGGCCCCATAATAACGCGCCAGGCGATCCACATGTACGAACTTAGGAGTCCCTCTTGCGCTTTTCTGTATCCGGTAGGTTACATCGTTGATCTTGGTCACAATCCGGCACGGGCCGTTCCATTTAGCTTGAAGCTTAGGAGATTTCCCTTTGCTGCGGACTGGATTGTGCAACCACACAAGTGAACCTTCGTCGAACCCTTTGTTGTTCATTTTGCGGTCGTACCGGGTTTTCATCTTTTCAGACATTTGCTGGCCCGATTGTCTGACGTGCTCATAAACGTCATTCATTTTGTGTTCTCGGTTGTATGCGGAGTCCCCAAGGAACTGACTTATTAGTTGGGAACTAACAACCGTACGAGAGGCTCCAGTGTCTATGGTCAGTTTACACGGCATTCCATTGACCTCGCCCTTGATGATTAGACTGTTGCCATCGTGGGTTTGTGAGATCGAGATTCTTGGGGCTCTTTTAACATCAGCCAGCACCCGCCCTGCAGTTCTGGCTTTTATTCGTTTCGCTGCTGCTGCTGGGCGGTGCTGTTGGCCGCACTACCCTCCTGAGATCGTTCACCTTCCCTTTCTAGGGTTCGCTTAGGGCAGCTGGATCGAAGGTGGCCCTTTTCCCCACAGCCATAGCACCTAGGGCTGTATCCTTTGTTGCGGTCGCGAACTGTAGCTGCTGCAACCTCCTTGACGCGATGGGAGCGAAGATCCTGCCGCACGGCTTCCACCTCCAGTGCATGGGCCAAGGCGTCCTTAAGCGTCTCGTGGTGCCCGAGCCTCACAGCAGCTCTGACTTCCAGGTCGCGGATGCCGTCGATGAATGTCTGCACCAGGTTCCCTTCAATGAGCGCTGGTACAGACCGGTATGCTTTTCGCACCAGCTTCTCCACCTCTAGAGCCCACTGCTGCAGGTTTTCGTTGATGCGCTGCGCGCGATCTTTAAGCTGCGCACGAAAGACGTGTTCCAGATGAGCGTCGCCATATCTCGCCTCCAAAGCCTCAAGGAGTTGCTCATAAGTCACTTCCTCACCGAGAGCTTCCAGAACTGTTAAGGCCTGGTCGCGCAGGCCTAGTGTGAGAGCAGTCATGGCCTGACTTTTATTCCAGCCGTTCGCCTTCATAACAGCCTCGAACTGGATTTTATAGGCTGACCAGGAAGAAGTCCCGTCGAACGGTGGCACCTTGAACCCACGTAGCGAAGGTGTAGTAGCTACTACGGGAGCTGTAGTTCCATCCCCAAGTTTGAGTTCGTCCAGTGATTTCTTCATGTCAACCATTACGTTGTCAACCCGATTGTTTACTTGGTCGATTCGGGTTTCAGCTTCCGACAGGCGGTAGTCATGTTGAGCAACCTTATCTTTCACCTCCCATATCTCTTTTCCGAAGGTAGCGTGGATATCTTTCATGAGGAGCATCTGCTCTTCCTTATCGCGTTCGAGCAAACACAAACTTGTGTCTGAAGTCACGAGTCTCGGACTGAGGGCGACTAAATCTAGTCCAGTTTAACCCCCAGAAGACACAAGTTTGCGCGTTAACCGCTAAAAAGAACCCCTGTGTC